CCTCGCCATCATCCACCTATCCAGCTTCCTTCTTCACCCCTGCTACTCCGTCTTTCTATTGGTATCGTTTTCACTTAATGCAATTCTTCACCTCTTCCTTCTACTTCAACCCCCCTCACCTTCTACTTCAACCCCCGCCACCCCTCCTTCACCTTCTACTTGAACTTCAACCCCCTTCCTCCGCCTCCTCCTCCGCCGCCTGCTGCTCCGATCTTCCTCCGTTCCACCTCCCTGCTCTTGCCGTATTCCTTAAGTGTTTCCTTGTCCTCCTCCTCCTTTCGCTCCCCATCTTTCTCCTTCAATTGTCTGTGCATCCTCGTTGTTCTCTTCCTCGTTGTTTCCTCCTCTCCTCGTACCTCTCTTTCCCTTCTCCTTCTTATCCCTCCTCCTCATTCTCCTCCTCCTCCTCCTCCTCCTCCTCCTCCTCCTCCTCCTCCTCCTCTATTCGGCTACGCTCCACCTCCTCCTCCTCCTCTACCGCTCCTCCTCACTCCTCCTGATGATCCTTTCTCCCCCCGCCCTTCTCCCTTCTCACCCTCCTCCTCCTCCTCCTCCTCCTCCTCCTCCTCCTCATGCCGATGGCTACCGCAACCCTTGGGGCGGAGGTTGTGCAGGACGCATGGGGCGCCGGTAAGGGTGTGCGATCCGCGCACACCCGACGAGCATCTGCACAACCGCCCCAAGAGTCAGGGAGCCTGGGCGACACCGGCAAAGTCGATCGAGGAATTCGCCTCCAGGGCACAGTCTGGCGAAAAGGCCAGCGGTCCTGAGTGCTTGTCGTCCCGTAGCGCCTGCGTCACCGTAGGACACAGTCTGGCGGCAATGCCAGCGGTCCCGTGCGCATGTCGTTCCGCAGCGCCTCGTGTTACTTCACATGCGGGCGCAAAAGGCATTTGCCTCCAGGACACAGTCTGGCGGCAATGCCAGCGGTCCTGAGAGTATGTCGTTCCGCACCGCCTGTATCCCCACACGCCTACAAAAGAAGCAGGCGCCTCCAGGACACTGTCTGGTGGCAAGGCCAGCCAGTTATGAGCCCGTGCGCTCCGCGCGCCTTCATGACCTTGACCCCCTCGTGGCCATGCCCCAGTATTCCCATGGTATCCTGCATATCCAGTAGCTGGTTCACCATGGCACGGCCTCAATGTACCCCACACTCTTGCAGAAGAGGTAGATACCTCAAGGACACAGTCAGGCGGCAAGGCCAGCGGTCCTGAGTGTTTGTCGCCCCGTAGCGCCTGCGTCACCATGGCTCAGGCAGGGCATTCTGCAGTATGGATTCTTAGTGGATCCTGTATGGATTTCCACATCCGGGGCGTGGATTTGCGCATGGATTCCGCGGCGCGAGCAATAGAACAAAACAACAAACATTGGTATGGATTCCTGTGTGGATTCTGTATGGATTTTTTCTTCTGCAAAGCAATGTAAACTCACATGGAATCCAGGCGCTGGAAGGAGGGACAAATCCATCCGGAGTCGAGCATCCATGCGAGTATGCTACGCATGGACAGCGGCGGTCGCCAACGAGAGACCGGCAACATAAATCCATGCATCGCGTCTACAAGATGTCCTGCCTCACATGACTCACATGGCACGGCTTCGCTGCATCCCACACGCCTGCGACAGAGGTAGATACCTCCAGGACACAGTCTGGCGGCAAGGCCAGCGGTCCTGTAGTCGATCGAGGCATCCGCCTCCAGGACACAGTCTGGCGGCAAGGCCAGCGGTCCTGAGTGCTTGTCTCCCCGTAGCGCCTGCGCCACCGTGGCGCGGCCTCGCTGTATTTCACACGCCTGCGAAAGAGGTAGATACTTCCAGGACACAGTCTGGTGGCAATGCCAGCGGTCCTGTAGTCGTCTGAGGCATCCGCCTCCGAAACACAGTCTGGCGGCAAGGCCAGCTGTCCTGAATGCATGTCGGTCTGTAGTGCCTGCGTCACCATGGCACGCCTTCGCTATACCCCACAAGCCTGCGCAAGAGGTAGATATCTCCAGGACACAGTCTGGCGGCAAGGCCAGCGGTCCTGTAGTCGAAAAAGGCATGTGCCTGCAGGACACAGTCTGGCGGCAAGGCCAGCAGTCCTGAGTGCATGTCGGTCCTTACCGCCTGTGTCCCTCGCTCAAGCCGTTTTGGCTCAAGAAGGTGGCGGGAAGCGTCGCGGGACAAAGTGTTTGAAACGGCGTCCCCTGAAAATCGGAGTTATCTCTTACATCTTTCTTGTTGCCCCAGCCTGGGTTTGATGGCACCCGTCAGCGCAAGCCACGGTCTCGTGTAAAAAGTGCTTACAACTCCCATCTTTCTGGCACCTGCAGAGTCCTTCTTTCCATCTGCCGATTCATACGTCAGGTTAGCATGCGTCTATCCGCTCGCCATTCGCCGCGGACTTCGCAAGCCACGCCGTCCCCCCCCCTTTGCGTCCGCCGCCCTCGCACCTTCCACCGCCCCCCTCCCATGCCATGCACTTGTTCTTTCGTAGCATCCCCGAAGCAAGCTGTGTAATGTCACGAGCATTGAGAGCCGAAGTTCGTGACAAAAACTTTGCGACGTGAATCGGCGAACGAAGCGTGCGCCTTGACAACTGGTACCGCTGCCAGGGTCGTTGCATGTCCACCATGGTAGAGGTGAACACCCGTCTGGGTGGACTCCGAACGGTGTAAACAAGCGCCGTTTAGGATTGGCCCCTGTCCCGGCCACGTGGCCGAGGATTGGGGGGGCGTTTTGCCCTGGGCTCTGATCGGGAAGGCTCAATGAAAATGGGTTCGGGACTCTCGTGCAGCCCTCGAAGGACCCCCACCCGCATACCTCACCTCACATCTGCGGTGGTGGTCTCCTCTCCTCTGCCTCCTCCTACTCTGCCTCCTCAGGGCGCCAAGCCTGGTGCTGCCGGTGGCCGGCTGGAGTCGGTGTCGCACTGTCGGTCGAATGCCGTGCCCTTAGCGCTCGCGCAACCAAGCAGAGTCCGCCAGTGCTTCGTAGAACGGTCAGTGTCTGCACAAATCGTGCCCCCCCGGGCAGCTGGCACGATACAATGCGCTGTTTGGCACCGCTGCCCTGTAAGACAAAATGTTGCGGGATGGGGTCAAAATTTGCTGCCCCACAAAATGTCTGCAACAACTTGTGGCTGTTTTTCGGCGCCTCGTTCTCCTAAGCAATGGCGAAATAAGGTTGCATTTGAAACGGGTTTCCCGCGACATTCACGACACACCTACGTTGATGCATTCTGTCGGCACCAATGGGCGGACACATCGTGCCCCCCCTGGTAACCGCCAAGATACGATGCACTGTTTGGCACCACTTCCCTGCAAGACAACATCACCCCTTGGGCCGTCCCTCCCTCTCGGCGTCATCCTAATTGCCCCATCCCCTTCCCTCCTCCCCCACCGAGCGCCTTGTCAAACCTGGATGCCGCCGCACACGCCCACGTATCTCGCACGCGGGAGTGCGACCAGGTAGGTGGACATAAAGGCCGCCACACATCGTGCACACCCCCACTCCCACTCCCAAACCCACTCCCACCACTAAGGTGATCTCTGCATCACGGTCCAGCCGCACCACACCAACCTGTCCGCAAGTTTCCCCCACAGACAAGATCCTCTTCCACCTTGCATCTTCGGACCCTCAGTGGTTGGGTACGCCCCCGCACTGCCGAAGGGTTGTGGTAGCATGGATGGTGCCAACGAGCTCACGCGGCCTTGGCAGGTACCAAGATGTATTTCCGCACTGGAGCCGCAGTGCCTTGCTTGGGCCATCACGATTCGTTGGCACAATCCATGCGGTATGGACCCAGATGGCCCCAGGCCATGCCCTACATCGGGCCACCGTGCCCTTCAGGGGGGTGCTCCAGGAAACTGGACCCACCAACGGGGTTCAGGCGCCCCTGAGCCATCAACATCAAGTTCCTCCTCCTCTCCTCCTCCTCCTCCTCCTCCTCCTCCTCCTCCTCCTCCTCCTCCTCCTCCTCCTCATCCCGAGAACCCATTTTCCCCCTCCTCCTCGAATAAGCATCCCTCTCCTCCTCCTCCCCCCCTCTCATCCTTCCTTCCCCCTCCGCTCCCCCTCCTTCCCCAGAAGCTCCACCGTCTCCCCCCGCCCTCCACCTACTCGATGAAATCTGAATGACTTCGAGCAAAGGGAAGCACGATCGAACGCGGCACGGGGGTCAGGGGGCGCCGGTTGGCAACTCGACAACTCATGGGGGACAGATTCCCGGATAGCCCTCTGAGAGCTAAGAGGGCTTCAGATCAGAAGCCGGCATCGCAGGCCAGCCCCAGAGCTCGTTCGGGATTCCGGCAAGATACCTCGGCACGTGGTCCGGCGTGTTCTGGCAGCGTGTTCCGGCAGGTCTTTTCTAGTTGTTTTTCAATATTATCTCCCAGAAGCTTTTCCAGAAGCTCCTTCCAAGAGTTTCCAGAGCTCTCTCCAAAGGCTGTCGGAAGGCCTTTTTGGCGCTCCGCTATCCGGGTTTTGGACTCCACAAGAGTTCAAAAGACCGCCCGAGCAAACCGAAAGAAGGTCCAAGAAGGCTCCAGCATTGCCCGAGCAGCCCCCTGAGAGGCTCAGGTCGTGAGGCTTCCATGCGCACTTTGGCATTCTCGCCCTTTCGGTTCGAAGATCGTCCAAGACAGCCCAAGCGCTCCAAAGCATCGCCCCAAGCAGGGCCAACGGCGTCCAGCAACGGGCACCCGCGAGGGCCCCTAGCTAGCGCCAAGGCCCTCCAAGAGATCGGGGGCGGAACAGAGGGGGGTGATGACGAGGGGGGGGTGGATATCATGGCGTGTGCCATGAATTTTCCCCAGATTTCTTCATGGCGCCTCTTCTTATTTCTGGGCCGCGCACATGCCTCCGGCCATGATTTGCACCCCCCCATCTTGGACACCCCTCTCTTTGCCGCCCCCGAAGAGAGACCCCAAACGGCCAAAGAGCGCCACACCGACAGAGACCCTCTGCACGGCTTCGGCTCCGAGGGGCCCCATCCCGCTCGAGAAGGTCCCAGGGCAGTCCGTAGCCACCTTGGCTCAAGCAGCCTTCAAGTTCAGGGCCCGCTTCGGGGGAAGCGTCTCTCGCGCAGCTGCTCTCGGCCACGGGGCACGAGACCGCCGTCAGGATGGCGGCGACACAGGACTGGGTGGCGAAGACCCTGAAGGCCCACAACGACCTCCGCGCGAGGCACGGCGCACCGCCGCTGCAGTGGAGCGACGAATGCTTTCGGGCCGCCCAGGTGCAGGCGAGCGCCTGTCAGTCCCGCGGCGCCCTCTTCCACGGCAGCCAGCAGGGGCGCAGCGGCCGCCACGGCCAGAATGCCTTCTTCGGCAGCATGCCGGGCGCGGACGCCTCCGACGTGGTGCAGATGTGGTACGACGAGGTTGCAAAGTACAACTTCGGTCGCCCGGGGTTCGCACCAGGCACGGGGCACTTCACGCAGGTGGTCTGGGCCGGCTCCACCCACGTAGGCATGGCGAGGTCCGCCGACGGCCGGTATGTGGTCGCCAACTACTTCCCGGCGGGCAACGTCACTAGCCCCGGTTGCTTCCAGCAAAACGTGATGCCAGCGGGCACCAAGGCCGCCGCCAAGCCTGCTGGCGGTGCCTCTCCGGCCGTGTCTCCGAGCGGCGCCTCGCCCGGCAAGGCCTCGCCCGGCAAGGCCTCGCCCGAGCGCTCAGGGTTGGGTTGGCTGGGGCGGCTCGGCAGGCCGTTCCGCCGCAACGAGAGACCCGCGCCGTCCTCCCCTGGCGGCGGCGGCAGGGTGCTCTTGGGCGCAGGTGGCGCACAGGCCGGGAGGATCTTGCACGGGACAGTGAAGGCTTCCGGATGGACGCCGGAGGTGCTGGCAGCTTTGGAGGGCGTGCCTTCGCCAGAGGCGCGCAACACGGTGCAGAGGGGTTTGGCCGAGGGCGCTGCGGTGACCATCGAGCGGCAGGCCCAGAGCATCGCCGTGACCACGGAGAAGGCCGGCATGACCAGGCGGTGGAACATGAGGTGGGGATAGGCGCGGCACGGCTCCGAGGACAGCCGGGGAGCGACAGGTCGCGAAAGCAGCCTCGGGTGTTTTCTTTGTCTGTGTCCAAGCACCGACCAGTCAGTGCTCTTTCCACGGCCCGCCTCTCCACCCAGATCCTGCACCAGGCCGTCTAAGCCAGGGCTTCGGCCCGCAACTGCCGTTTCAAATTCTTGATCTGGGTTGGCCTCGTTACAGTTCATGGCCGAGCCCATCGCTTCTGCCTCCATCAGCCCCGCTCCCACCCCTCGCACCGCGGATAGACGATGGACTTTAGACGACGTAATGAGTAGTATCTTTACTGGCCAGCATGCACCCCACCGCGGTGCGCCAGCAACGCTCACTGGCACCACAATTCTGCAATCCTCTGCATAAGTCAGGGATGCACAGCTTCCGGAATTTGGAACGCGACGCAGCGAAGATTGGGTTGTCTGATGTTGAGCCATCTTTTGCTTCAGCTGACGCCGCCTGAAACAAGCAAGAACGGAGGAACAAATATGCCCCAGGAAAGCCCAAGACAGTTCCAAGACGGTCCAAGAGAGCCCCGAAAGGCTTCCGAAGGTCCAAGAGGCCCCCTTCCGAAGATCCCAGATACAATCCCAAGATGGCCCAAAAGACCATTAGAATTCGCCCCGAGCCAGTCCACTCTGGCCGACGCTATCGCGAGTCTGGATTCAGAACCCGACAGCAGCCGTTCAACGCGCCCCGCAATTCGCCGTTGATGGGTAGTTGATGGCGTCGGCTCGGTGATGCGGTAGGCTCGTTGCTGGTGACGTTGATGGCTCGTTGATAGCTAGTCGTACGGCAGGCTCGTTGATCGCTCCGCTTCCTCCTTCTCTTCCTTCTCCTCCTATCCTGGCGATGCGTGTCCTCGTCTATCTCGGCCGTTTCCAACGATGCCTCCCGAAAAGGGCCAAGATAACCGAGATAAGTGTTAGAGCCCCCGGATCGTGGAAACTAATTACCCTTTCGATGCCCTTATTGACGGACTTGGGCCCAACTTATGAAAGAAAGAATGATAATAGTTTCTCCGCTACAGCCGCGCGCAACAACGACGACGACGGCTAAAGCTTCGATTACGACTACGACCGCAGTACGACTTAACGGAGGCGGAGGGGCGGAGTTGATCCACCGGCGAGCGACTCCCGAGGTTAGACCTGAGCGCATGGGCCGATGCATTGGCGATGCGGCGGTGCCTCGGCGACGTCAGGATGGAGCCTGGCAGGCTCGGGATGGCGCCGCATCGCCAGTGGTCACCAGCGATGCGGCACGACTCTCCCGAACCTGCCTGCTCCGGCCCCATGTTCGATATCAGCGATAGGCATGTTCGAGGGCAGCGATCGGGGGGGGGTCTAGGCATCGATCCCATACCCTGGTGCTGTGAAAAATCACGACGGGGGAGAGATGCATCGATCCCGAATCGCCCATTGATCGCCGATCAGGGGTCTGATGGGCCCAACCCGCCCAGGAAGGTGCGGCTTCGCTATCAGGACCTATCGCCGATCTATCGGCCAGGTATCGCCCATTCCAGGTCGATGTTCCCCACTATGCCGGCCCCCCCCTATCCTTGCCCCTCACATTGGGTTGGCCCCCCGCTTGTTTTCACCCACTCCCCGCCTGGGGGAAGGGGGGAAGGCTTCTTAGAAGCACCCCTGCTCCTTGGCGCTGGCCCTGTCTGTAGATGTAGGACAAGTGCCTTCTACGAAGCAGCCTGCTTCTAGGAAGCCTTCCCCCTCCTCCTACTCTCTTGTGCGCGTCGCCAAGATGATGAGGAGGAAGACCAGTGTAAATCCAAGAGTCGTCAACGATGTTGGAATAAACCCTCCCTCCAAGCTCCCTCTTCATAGGCCACTACAACGGTTCATTTCCACTGATGGACCTGCATCGTTGGAAAACAGCCTTTTGAAGACCCTGAAGCATGCCAAAACATTGTTCTCGGGATTCCAACGCCACGGACCAACCTGACTGTTGCGTCTTGACGATCCGGAATCGTGCCACAACGCCATTCCTGGAACTTCAACACAGCGGATCAACCTCACTGTTACACCCTCATAATCCTGAGCCTTTCCCGAACACTATTTCTGATTATTCTTGGTACGCTGATCATGGGAACCTGTGGAACTTTGCAATTTTGAACGAACGTGCGCGGCGTTGAGGCGAGAGCCACATTTTGAAAAAGGAACCGCCCTCAATCCGTGAAGCTCTTGCCATTTTTTACCGCCCGCATGCGTCACGCACCACCCAGAACAGTGCTTCGTGGCCCCATGGGGAGCCCCACCGAAAGCCTCAGTGGCACCGCCCGCATGCGTCACGCACCACCCAGTACAGCGTTTCGTGGCCCCATAGGGAGCTCCACCGAAGGTCCCATTGGGACCGCCCGCGTGCGTCACGCACCACCCAGTACAGCGCTTCGTGGCCCCATAGGGAGCTCCACCGACGGCCCCAATGGCACCGCCCGCATGCGCCGCCCTCACCCAGTACAGCGCTTCGTGGCCACAGGGAGCCCCACCGACGGCCCCATTGGGACCTCCCGCATGCGTCATGCACCACCCAGTACAGCGTTCCGTGGCCCCAGAAGGAGCTCCACCGAAGGTCCCAGTGGGACCGCCCGCGTGCGTCAAGCACCACCCAATACAGCGTTTCGTGGCCCATAGGGAGCCCCACCGAAGGTCCCAGTGGCACCTCTCGAATTCGTCACGCAAGACCCAGCACAGCGTTTCGTGGCCCCAGAGGGAGCCCCACCGACGGCCCCATTGGGACCGCCCGCATGCGTCATGCACCACCCTGTACAGCGCTCCGTGGCCCCATAAGGAGCTCCAGCGACGGCCCCAATGGCACCGCCCGCATGCGTCACGCACCACCCAGTACAGCGTTTCGTGGCGCTCCACCGAAGGTCCCATTGGGACCGCCCGCGTGCGTCACGCGCCACCCAGTACAGTGCTTCGTGGACCCATGGGGAGCCCCACCGACGGCCCCAGTGCCACCGCCCGCATGCGCCGCCCCCACCCAATACAGCGTTTCGTGGCCCCATAGGGAGCTCCACCGAAGGTGACAGTGGGACCGCCCGCATGCGTCCCGCATACCCGGTACAGCGCTTCGTGGCCCCATAGGGAGCCCCACCGAAGGTCCCAGTGGGACCGCCCGCATGCGTCCCGCACGCCCAGTACAGCGCTTCGTGGCCCCATAGGGAGCTCCACCGACGGCCTCAATGGCACCGCCCGCATGCGCCGCCCCCACCCAGTACAGCGTTTCGTGGCCACACAGGGAGCCCCACCGACGGCCCCAGCGCCACCGCCCGCATGCGTCACGCACCACCCAATACAGCGTTTCGTGACTTCACAGGGAGCTCCACCGAAGGTCCCAGTGGGACCGCCCGCGTGCGTCACGCACCACCCAATACAGCGCTTCGTGGCCCATAGGGAGCCCCACCGAAGGTCCCAGTGGCACCTCCCGCATTCGTCACGAAGGTCCCAGCACCGAAGGTCCCAGTGGTACCTCCCGCCCATAGGGAGCCGCTCCGAAGGTCCCAGCCCCACCTCCCAGTGGCACCTCCCGCAGCCCCACCGATTCGTGGCCCCATAGAGAGCTCCACTGAAGGCCCCAGTGGCGAACTCCACATGCGTTGCCCCCACCCAGTGCAGCGTTTCGCGGCCCATAGGGAGCTCCACCGAAGGCCCCAGTGGCAAGGTCCGCATGCGTCTCCCCGACCCATCACAACGTTTCGTGGCCCATAGGGAGCTAAGGCCCCAGTGGCAAAGTCCGCATGCGTCTCCCCCACCCAGTGCAGCGTTTCGTGGCCCATAGGGAGCTCCGCCGAACGCCCCAGTGGCAAAGTCAGCATGCGTCTCCCCAACCCAGCACAGCGTTTCGTAGCCCATAGTGAGCTCCACCGAAGGCCCCAGTGGCAAAGTCAGCATGCGTCTCCCCCACCCAGTGCAGCGTTTCTTGGCCCATAGGGAGCTCCACCGAATGCCCCAGTGGCAAACTTCGCATGCGTCCCCCCCACCCAGTGCAACGCTTCGTGGCCCCATAGGGAGCTCCACCGACTACGATACCCAGAATTGCGGCACTCACAACTACATCCGGTTAGATCCTTCGCCAGGCTATTTTTTATCAGAGTGAGGGGGCTGAACCGAACGGTCATTCATTGTCCCTGGGCGCGTGGCTGAAGTGGAATTCCGCGATGCGGATTCTCGTTGTTGTTGTTGTTGTTGTTGTTGTTGTTGTTGTTGTTGTTGTTGTTGAACATTATTAATTCTAAAAAATAATTATTGTTGGGCCCCCTGGTGCGCGCCCCCCCCGCCGCGCCTAGGCCGCAGCCACGTTTTCATCATTCCCCACATCCTGAGTGGGGTTCTTGTTTTCCCAGAACACCCTCTCCTTCTCCTCCTCCTCCCGCGTCCTTCTCCTAAACCATACCATACCAAGCCATACCATACCAATACCTTACCATACCAATACCATACCAAGCCATACCAAGCCATACCATATCAATACCATACCATACCATACCAATACCATACCATACCATACCATACCAAACCAATAACATCCCAAGCCATACCAAGCCATACCATACCAATACCATACCATACCAATACCATACCAAACCACGAACAGAACAGAACAGTCCCCGCCTGAGCGAGGAGGGTATTCGCATCACCTGTTATTTCTCAGGTTTCGTGCCCCTCCCACCCCTCCAGGGAGGCCCCGCCTGAGCGAGGAGGGTATTCGCATCACCTGTTATTTATCAGGTTTCGTGCCCCTCCACCCCTCCAGGGAGGCCCCGCCTGAGCGAGGACGCTATTCGAACACAGTGTTATTTATCAGGTTTCGTGCCCCTCCCACCCCTCCAGGGAGGCCCCGCCTGAGCGAGGAGGGTATTCGCATCACCTGTTATTTATCAGGTTTCGTGCCCCTCCCACCCCTCCAGGGAGGCCCCGCCTGAGCGAGGAGGGCGAGGACTGTGTTATTTATCAGGTTTCGTGCCCCTCCCACCCCTCCAGGGAGGCCCCGCCTGAGCGAGGAGGGTATTCGCATCACCTGTTATTTATCAGGTTTCGTGCCCCTCCCACCCCTCCAGGGAGGCCCCGCCTGAGCGAGGAGGGTATTCGAATCACCTGTTATTTATCAGGTTTCGTGCCCCTCCCACCCCTCCAGGGAGGCCCCGCCTGAGCGAGGAGGGTATTCGCATCACCTGTTATTTATCAGGTTTCGTGTCCAGGGAGGCCCCGCCTGAGCGAGGAGGGTATTCGCATCACCTGTTATTTCTCAGGTTTCGTGCCCCTCCCACCCCTCCAGGGAAGCCCCGCATGAGCGAGGAGGGTATTCGCAAACCATGTGATAGAAAAGGATGGAGAGGGCGAGGGCAGGTCGGCAATTTCTCTACAAAATGTTGCTTGATCCCGCTAGCCCAAAAACATCATTATGTGGGGAACTCCGTTAGCATAATTTTCGTGAGGAAGCCTCAGGTAATTCGAGTTGATCAAGATCCGGTTGTTTTG